CACGCCCGTACCGGACCGGGACTGGCAACGGGATCGCAACCCTCGGTGTTGCGCCTGCACCGGTGAGCGGCCGGTCTGTATGTGGGATCCGAACCTTTGAACTCATCTTAGACTAACAAAAAAGGCACAAAAATAGAGTTCCCGAATATTCTTCACCCAGTTTCCTCTGTTGTTAACATCGTATTTAACCTTAGCATAATGATCAAAACCAACAGCTAACACTATCACAAAGCTATGAACAATATTACAGACCTCAATCAAATTTTACTAATTTTTGCTCTAATGGAAAAAGTATTGTATTTGAGGATTCAATCCAGGATATCATGTTGCATTTTGTTATTGTGTCTCCCTTAGTCTTGTGATTCATTCTTAGAATGTATGATTGAAGTTCGTCAGTCTTTCCTTGTATTTCATGACCTTGAAACATTTGAAGAGCTCTGGTCACTTATTCTGCGGAATGTCTCTCAATGTGGCTTTGTCTGAGGTTTTCTTGTGATCAGATTGAGGTCATGCATTTGGGGCAGAAATACTACGGAAGTGGTGTTATGCCCCTTATTGGCAAATTATATCAGAGATCACATGATGTTGATGTGTTTTGTTACTGTGATGTTAACTCTGATTACTTGGTGAAGGTGGTATCTGCCAGATCTTTCCACTGTTAAGTTACTATTTTCTGGGCCGGCCCGGTGGCGCACTGCTACAGTGCGCCGCTTGGGAAGTGCGGCGGCGCTCCTGCCGAGGGTTCGGATCCCACATACAGACCAGCCGCTCGCTGGCTGAGCGAGGTGCGGGCGCAACACCGAGGGTTGCGATCCCGTTGCCGGTCCTGGTCTGGTACGGGCGCAACACTGAGGGTTGCAATCCGATGCCGGTCACTAAAAAATACAAAAAAGGGAGAAAAAAAAAAAGTTACTATTTTCTCTCTTGTAATTAATAAATTTGCTGAGGGAATTCCTTTGCGACTATACAAATATCCAGTTTCTCCTTCCATGCGTGCCCACTAATTTTAGCAACCATCTGTGGATCTTGCCTGCAGAAATGATTACTATCGCTTTTCTCCAATGGCGATTTTCTATTCCCTTTATTCCTTCTACATGTATTAACTGGAATTCCTCTGTAAAGGAAAGGTGGTCCTTCTCCCCCATTTATTTATTTGAGTATTTATATCAGTGTGAACTCATGGATATTTATTTTGTTAAAAGAGTCTCCTCCTCCTCCTCCTCTTTCTTCCTCTTTTGGGGGTTGGCCAGCAAGGGGATCTGAACCCTTGACCTTGGTGCTATCAGCACCGAACTCTAACCAAGTGAGGTAACCAGCCTTCCCAAATGATTATTTTTGATGGGTGGAAGGACGATGACCACAAGTTCTATTTCAGACATGATAAGTCTGAAGTGCCATAAGATGTTGCAGACATCCATAGGTTGCATGAGATGTTCCATGAGAACAGGGCTTGGAATTTCTTGTTTACTCCTATATCCACTTCTCTCTTCCCATTCAGCCTTGCAAATGCCTACAGAGCAGGAACTGAGTCTGATTTATCTGTGTCTCTAGCACCAAGCATAGGCCAGTGCCCAGACTATGTATCAAACAAATGTTGGTTGCATAGATGGTGGATGGATGGATGGATGGATGGTGGGTGGATGGATGGATGATGCATGGGTAGACGGGTGGATGAATGGACACATGAGTGGATGAACAAATGTGTGGGTAGATGGGTGATGAACCCAAATACTTTATTGATACAAAAAGTGAGTGTCCGGGAATATGTCCAGCTTTGGTCTTCTTGGTTATTGCAGTTATCTGAATCTAATGCTGAATTCTTTCTCTGCTACCTCCTCCCTCCTCCCTGACCTGGTGGTGATCCGGATGGCTGATGCTTTTGCTTCCAGTTGCAATTGAAGAAAAAAGTAAGAACTGTTGAAACCCCAAGTTTGCATTCCCATAGCTAGCTCTTCTCAGATTCCTTTGGATCTTGAGAACTCTCTGGGAATTCTGGGGAAGGGTGGGACTTGGGTCTTGTACACAGACTTTGCCTTGGGGTCAGGGCATAATTCGTAAAAGTAAGCTGCTGCCATCTTTGTCTCATATCAATGGTCACAACTAAAAGAGCTGCCCTCTTTTTGTCTGGAGAAGAGAGGCAAAGTAGGATGAAGGAGAGATCTTATCAGGGAAGAAAAAAGGCAGGGAGATCTCCACTAGAATGACACCTTGACCCACACTCACTGTTGCTGGCAATTTGCAAACTTTATGGTCTCAAGGACTCTGAACACTCTTAAAAGTTATTGAGAACCCCAAAGAGTTTTTGTGGTTTTTTAAATATGGGTTATGTCTTTTTATATTTACCTTATTATAAATTGAATGATTTTTAACTTAAAAATATTTATTTATACAAATGGCCAATAAACACACAAAAAGATGTTCAACATCATTAACCATCAGGAAAATGCAAGTCAAAACCACAGTGAGATACCTCTTCAGACTTACTAAGACAGTTATATTCAAAAAGATAGATGATAAGTGTTGACCAGGAGATGTGGAGAAATTTGAACCCTCATATACTGTTGGTGGGAATGTACAATGGTACAATGGCTTTGGAAAACAGTCTGGCAGTTTCTCAAAATGTTGAACATTGAGTTATCCAGCAATTCTTCTCCTAGGTATATGCCCAAGGGAAATGAAGGCGTAAGTCCTCACAAACACTTGTATGCAAATGTTTGCAGCAGCTTGTAAGAGCCAAAAAGTGGAAATAACTCAACTGTCCATCAGTTGATTAATGGATAAACAAAATGTGATCTATGCTTATGGTGAAATATTATAAAGCCATACAAATAAAGTACTGATACATGCTACAACATGAATGAATCTCAAAAACAATACGCTAAGTGAAAGATGCCAGTCATAAAGGACCAGATATCATCCGATTACATTCATGTAAAACATCCAGAATAGGCAAATCCATAGAGACAGAATATACATTAGTGGTTGCCAGGGGCTGGGGAGTGGGAGAATTGTGGGATGATGACTAAGGTATGTAGGGTTTATTTTGGGGGTGATGAAATGCTCTAAAATTTATGTAGTGGTGGTTGCACAAGTCTGAATATTCTAAAAACCACTGATATTGGTGAATTGTATGGCATGTAAATTTTACCTCAATAAAGTTATTATTAAAATATTACTTCATAAAAATTAATAAATAACTTCATAAAAATAGGTATAATAAACACACAACACACTAATATAAATAAAATATTTTAATAAAATGACTGTTTTTTCAAACCAAAAAATTTGGTGAGAAGAGAGGTATTATTTTACATTTTTGAAATCTCTCCAATGTCTGGCTTAATAGAAAACAGTGGATTCTTATTTCTGCTTCTGCATTCAATCTGTTGTGATGTGTTATTTCAGTTGAAACAAATGAAATTCAAACACACAGATAGTGAGCTGAAAAAGAAGAGGTCACGCAGGCCCCCTGTTTTGAGAGAGACAGGACAGAGAAATACATGATAAGGGATTTATGAGGTTCACTCAGTTATGGAGTCTGCAAACTGGAGACCCAGGGAAACTGGTAGCATGGCTCAGTCCAAGCTCAAAGGCCTCAGGTATTTCTTTTATTTATTTATTTATTTATTTGGCAGCTGGCCTATAAGGGGATCTGAACCCTTGACCTTGGTGTTACAAGGTGGCACTCTAACCAACTGAGCTAACTGGCCAGCCCTAGGTTCAAAAGTCTCCAAATTAAGGCAGCCAATGGTGTAATTCTCAGTCTAAGGCCAAAGGCCCAAGAGCCAGGGATGCAGGGCGGGGGCGGTGTTGCTTGTGCAAGTCCTAGAGTCTCAAAGGCCAGAGAACCTAGAGTTCTGAAATCCAAAGGCAGGAAAACAAGGGCATCCCAGGTCCAGAAAAGAGCAAGAACTCTCCCTTCCTTCACCTCTTTGTTCGCTCCAGACCCCAGCCAACTGGATGGTGCCTGTCCACACTGCGGGCAGATCTTCACCACACAGTCCACTGACTCGCACACCAGACTTCTCCAGAAACACCCTTACAGAGACACGTGGGACAGCTCAGTTATTCTAATCACATGCCAGACCACCTGGGCTTCCCTTTCAGCAGAACAGGAACTGGCTGTGTGCCTACTAAAGCACTGAAAATAATCAATGCAATGATTAAGAATAAATAACACTTTACCAGCTATGTGGGTGTCCCTTAATTCAGTCAAGTTGCACAACCATCACACCTCCTGAAATGTCTCAGGGACACCCCAGTGACCCTTGAATAATACTTTGAGAATTGCTGCTCCATATTATAAGGGAGGGAAAAGGATGTCTCTCTTTCCCACCCCTACTAGACAGCAAGACTATACGTTCCTAGAGGGCAGGGGCTGTCTTTTACTCATCTGTTTATTCCTATAGCCTAGAAAAGTCCCAGCACTCAGTGGGACTGTATAAATGGAAAGGGCTTTGTAAAATGGAAAGCACTGTGCATATAAGTTAATGTTATTTCAGATTGAAAGGAGAGGAAGGTAACCAATATAATTTAAGCATCTAGCATGTCCTGAGAACTTAAAATACGTCATGCAATTTAATTTTCAAAATAGTAAATGTCCCATATGGGTCTGAGGTGGCCAAAGCTCTGAATCCTCATACAGGACCACCCATCATCAGGATCACTTGGGAAGCTTTTAAAATATTTAATCCCCACACTAGACCTAGCAAGTCAAAATGCCCTCAGGTAACACTTTGGGTTCTTTATACCTAAAAAAACTAGCCTATGCTAGCTCCTTCCTATCTTCAAAAACTGAAATTCTAAATCTAAATAAATGCAAACATCTCATGAGTCACAATTTATTTTTATTTTTATGTAAAAAATTATGCTGCTGATCTTAGAAATATTTTGTTTTATGTTACAAGGATACTTCAAAAAGTTCATAGAAAAATACGATTGAAAGATTAAATGAATCTTTCCATAAACTTTTTGACGTACTCTCATAAATTATCAGTATATTATTTAAATTAATGATTTAAATACCATTTGTAGTCACATTTAATAATATTTAAATTAATAATTAGATATTTGATTTCAAACATTATGTTATTTTAACTTAAAATATTTTATTTTCATTTAAAATAAGATTTCCATGGTTTATTTTATTTATTTTTTTTTTTTCCTTTTTGTCTTTTTTTCGTGACTGGCAACGGATTGCAACCCTCAGTGTTGCGCCCGTACCGGACCGGGACCGGCCATGGGATCGCAACCCTCGGTGTTGCCCCCACACCTCGCTCAGCCAGTGAGCGGCCGGTCTGCATGTGGGATCTGAACCCTCGGCGGGAGCGCCGCTGCACTTCCCAAGTGGCGCACTATAGCAGTGCGCCACCGGGCCGGCCCAAGATTTCCATGGTTTAGAATTCAAAAAGTTCTCAAGGTTATACTGGAAATATTTTCTTACCAAGCTATTTACCCAGTTCTTCTCCCTAAAGCAATCCAATATTACCTCTTCCTTATGGATCCTTCCAGAGAGAGTTTATGCAAGTAGAAACAAGTATGTATTTATATATTCAAAATCTTCCTGTTTCTATTTTTACACAAAAGACAGCATAGTATTCACACTGTTCTCCATCATACACCTTACTTTTTTCATCTAGCAATACATCCTGAAGGTCACTTCATGTCAGTCCATACAGAGCATTCTTAATATTTTACTTATTTTGGGCTGCATAATATTTCTTGTATGAATGTCCATAACTGATGGGCACTCAGTTTGTTCCAATAGTTTGCTATTTTAAACAATGCTTCAAAAAAAAATCTTATATGAAATCAGATATGTGAGCAATATCTATTTATCTATAGGATTACATATATGTATACATGTGTGTGATTATGTCTCTCTCTATATGTATCTATTTATGTAGGTACCTGTATAGACACATACAAGTATATATCTAGATATACCTGGTATCTCAGTCTGTTTTGTGCTGTTATAAAAAAATACCTGAGACTGGGTAATTTGTAATGACCTTAAATTTATTGGCTCACAATTCTGGAGGCTGGGAAGTCCAAGATCGAGTGGCTGGCTTCTGTTGAAGACCTTCTTTCTGTGTTATCCCTTGGTGGAAGGGCAAAAAGAGGGAAAGAGAGAGATTCGAAGCCTCAAGCCCATTTACAATTGGCATTAATCCATTCATGAGGGTAGAGTCCTCATGACCTAAACGCTTGTCATTAGGCCCCCAGCTCCCAACACTGCTAACACTGTTGCATTCGGGATTAAGTTTCTACCATATGGTTTTTGGGAAACACATTCAAAACATTGTATAGAAGGCTGGCCAGTGGCTCACTCGGGAGAGTGCGGTGCTGATAACACCAAGGCCACGGGTTCGGATCCTATATAGGGATGGCCGGTTCGCTCACTGGCTGAGCGTGGTGCTGACAACACCAAGTCAAGGGTTGAGATCCCCTTACCGGTCATCTTTAAAAAAAAAAAACATTGTATAGATAGATAAGTAGATATAGATATAATCATATATATCATTATATATAATGTATATATGAGGGTACTTCAAAAAGTTCATGGAAAAATAGAATTGAAAGATAGTATGAATCTTTTCATTAACTTTTTGAAGTGTTCTTGTATGTGCACACACACATACAAGCGTACTTCAAAATTTTCATGAAAAAATAGAATTAAAAGATGATACAGATCCTTCCATGAACCATGAACTTCTTGAAGACTCCACATGTGTATGTGTGTGTCTCTGTCTAGATAAATAGATATATGTCTGCAAGATTAATTTCTACGACTGTAAGATTTAAAAAGTTTTCCCAACACTGTTGCCAATGCAGTGTTATCACTGTACTAATCTTTGTCAGATTATATGTGATAAACTACACAAAAACAGTCTCTCCTAAAAATCTC